TTAGATCAAATATATATTTTGCAAATATTTTCTCCCTGTCTGACTTGCCTTTGTATTTTTGTAAAAATGTCTTTTGAAGATGTGAGTTTGAAGTAAGGTCCAATTTATTTTTATTATTTTTTGGCTTTATAATGTGTCCTTTTGGGGCCTATTCAAGAAATTTTTTAAAAGATTTATTTGAGAGAGAGAGAGCTAGAGAGTGAGCATGAGTGGGGGGCGGGAAGAGCAGAGGGAGAGGGAGAAGCAGACTCCCCGCTGAGCAGGGAGCCTGACATGACAAGGGGCTCGATCCCAGGACCCTGAGGTTATGACCCGAGCTGAAGTCAGAGGCTTAACAGACTGAGCCACCCAGGTGCCCCCTATTCAAGAAATTTTTGCCAAACCCACAGTCACTAAGATTCTCTCCCCATTTCTTCTAGAAGTTTCACAACTTTAGTCCATACATTTAGATCTATGATACATTTTGAGTTAATTTTCATATATGGTGTGAGATGTGAGGCAAGCATAGCTCCCTCACCGTTTCATTTGTTTATAAGTGCTGAATAACTTAGAAAAATTTGGAGTGTAAGATCCAGGAAGTTAAAAAAAAAAAAAAAGTCAGATTTCCCCATAATACTATACCATGGTCATTATTTGTATCCATGAGTCTTTTTTTTTTTTTAAGATTTTATTTATTTTTTTGACAGAGAGAGACACAGCGAGAGAGGGAACACAAGCAGGGGGAGTGGGAGAGGGAGAAGGAGGCTTCTCGCTGAGTGGGGAGCCTGATGTGGGGCTCGATCCCAGGACCCCAGGATCATGACCTGAACCGAAGGCAGACGCCTAACGACTGAGCCACCCAGGCACCCTTGTATCCATGATTCTTTTTTTTTTTTTTAAAGATTTTATTTATTTATTTGACAGAGAGACACAGCGACAGAGGGAACACAAGCAGAGGGAGTGGGGGAGGGAGAAGCAGGCTTCCCACGGAGCAGGGAGCCCGATGCGGGGCTCGATCCCAGGACCCCGGGATCATGACCTGAGCCGAAGGCAGACGCTTAACGACTGAGCCACCCATGCGCTCCTGTATCCATGATTCTTAAGCAAATATTCGGCATCATTTTGGTGTTATGTGTAGTTCATTATATGGAAATTATTTGGAACATAGCAATCGACATGTGCTATACATATAGGCATTTTACCAGAACATCACATTTATCTGATAGACCTCACTCTGTCCATTCAGGATAAACAGCAATTTATTTGAAATACTTCTGAGAATTTCTTATTGTGGGCAGAAAATTTATAATGCCATTGTATTCATTTTCTATGCTGCATAACATACTGCTGCAGAATTAGTGGCTTAAAACAATGCAGATTTATTATGTCATAATTTATGTGGGCTGGGAGCCTGGCTAAGCGGAGTCCTCTGCTCAGGATCCTGCAAGGTTGCGTTTAAGGTGTCACTCAGGACTCCTCTCTCACCTGGAGGCTTCATGGTGAGAGACCTGTTTCCAAGCTCACACAGGTTGTTTCCTTGCAGCTCTAAGACCAAAGATCTAGCTTTTTGCTGGTTGTCAGCCAGAGGCCACCGTCAGCCCCTAGGAGATACCTGTAGTTCCTTGCCATGTGGCCCTATCACAACACGATAGCTTCCTTCTTCAAAGCCACCGAGAGAGAAAGAGTGAGTCTGCTAGCAATATGGAATCTTACATAGTGGAACGTAATCATGGGAGTGCCATCCATCCTCTTTGCCATACTCAACTGGTTAGAAACAAGTCACAGGTCCCACTCGCATTTCATTTTTTTTAAAGATTTTATTTATTTATTTATTTGACAATGAGAGCGAGTACAAGCAGGGGGAGTGGCAGGGGGAGGGAGAGGAAGAAGCAGGCTCCCTGCTAAGCAGGGAGCCAGATGCGGGGTTCCATCCCAGGACCCTGGGATCATGACCCGAGCCGAAGGCAGTTGCTTAACTAACTGAGCCACCCAGGTGCCCACCCCACTCACATTTCAAAGGAAGGAGTTGGCACCAAGGCGTGAACACCAGGTGGCAGGGATCCCTGGGAGGACCCTTAAGGTCTCTCCACCATGGCCATGATGTAGTTGGGTTCCCACTCGGGATCATTGCCAGACCTCCAGCTTCACCAGCCAGTGGTTCCCAACATAGATGCTCTGGAGAATGCCCAAATGCTTAAAAAGATGTCCGGAAAAATCTGAAACAAAAGAATAAAAGAAATAAACATACAAACTAAAAAAAAGCCACACTCTTAAAAACTTTATTGTAGAGAATTTCATACATACACAAAGGTAGAACAATATAATGAACCTTCGTGTGTCTGTCACCTATAGCTATCAACCACCACCCCATGCCAGTCTTAGCCCATGCACGCCCCCATCCACTGCCCGCTCTTGAATTATTTGAAACAAAGCCCTGGGCTTCCTATCATTCCATCCATAAATATTTCTGTATAAATGTCTTAAAAAACCAGTTTTTAAAAACATAACCATTGTACCATTTTTTCACCTAAAAATTAACAGTAATTCTTTAATATCACCAAATATCCAGTGTTCCAATTTCCGATTATCTTATGTCCTCATTCACTGATAGTTTGAACCCAAATCCAAATAATATCTATACATTCAATATGTTGATAAGTCTTCAGTTATTTAAAGATTTTGTTTATTTATTTGACAGAGAGGGAACACAAGCAGGGGGAGTGGGAGAGGGAGAAGCAGGCTTCCCGCGGAGCAGGGAGCCCGATGTGGGGCTCGATCCCAGGACCCTGGGATCATGACCTGAGCCGCTTAAGGACTGAGCCACCCAGGCGCCCCTTGAATAAGTCTTTTAAATCTCTCATCTGCAGACCCACTTCCATTCCATCTTTCTTTGTCTTTTTTTTTTCTTGAAGCACTCATTTGTTAAGATTGGTTTTTAGTTTGGGGTGTTGTTTTTTTTTTTGGTCCCGTTTCCCAGTCTGGAAATTGCTGACACACTACAATTTTAAAAAGTGAGCTTATTGCAAAATCAACTCCACAAATACTCTTCAAAGATTTACTAAATGGTCTTTTTCTTGGTAATTAAGTCATCTTTCTTTACTTTTCTTTCCTCCCTGCTTCCTGAATTCATTTATCTTGATCACCTCTGAATCAATAACAAAAAGTTTTACAAAACTGCCATCTGCTTTCCCCTGGGATTTATATCTTAAAAAAATTTTCCTCAATTGAATTCAAATTGAATAAGAGCATTGAAACCGAGGATCCCTCATTAGACAGTTTGTTATTTCAAAGCATTTTCTATTTACCATGCCTTATTTAGAATCCAGTATAATCCTCTGAAGGCAATTCTGTTTGTTCAGAATGGTGTATAATTGGGAATAACTGCAATTCCCTATCTGACATAAAGTCTCTTGAGTTCTTTTTTATTAGAGAAATTTAATTTATTAGAAACATTGTACCATCTGAATCTATTAATGTAACATTCCTTTTAATTTATATTCCAAATTAATGAGGTTATACTATATCAAGAAGTAATCACAATTTTAAATCTGTCTTAAAAATCATTCACCAGAAGTTTGCATTGATTTCTTTTTTAAATTTATTTTTATAACATCATTATAATACATGCATGTACTGGAAAAAGTCAGTAGGACTCTTAGGCTTATTAAAAAAAAAAACCCAGTGATTCAACAATCCCTTTCCCTACCTGCCCTTACCCCAATTCTTGTTTCCTATAGACACTCACCATTTGACGATCTTAATTTTCCAAAATGTTGTGCACATCTCTCATCCACTGTCATTGCCGTTCTTGTTTCCTCTGCCCTGGGGGATTACACCTTTTAATTAATTTTTTTTTTGGGGGGGATATACCTTTTTAATTCTTTACCTGTAATTCTTGTAGTATTTGGGAGGAAGTGGAAATAAATGCATATATGTTCAGTTTGCCGTATTTAGCTTTTAGTTTGCCATAGTTTCACTTTCTGGTTCCTTCGTGGATAGTCCAGAATGGTGTAAAAGTTGGCACCCAACCCCTCTACCCCCAATGTCTCCGTGTTGTTGGAGGAGGTGGCTCTTTGGGCTGTCTGAGCAAAGTGTCATCCTGTAGTTTCTAGTGCCGTCTCCTGCCTCCAGGGGGCCGTGGCGAACGTATCCCTCTCTGTCACGGAATGGCACTTCCCAGAGCACCATATGGCCCCGTGAGAATGTCTCGTGAGGCCTTTTCTCTCTTGACCTTTGTCCCTCAGGGGGACTGTAGTGTTGGTCGCTGGCCTGCAACACTGAGGGCCACCCCCACATGTCGCCTGACTCTTCTGTCTTTGGGGCACGTGTCCTCCCCCCCCCCCCATCTCTTACGACGCCAAAGAGGTCAGGGAGTGAGCTTCGCGCAGTGGCGCGGGAGGGAAGTAAGCCCAGGTTGGCAGCCTCCGCCCGTTCCTGTGGTGCACGTACCGCCCCGGCTGCTTCCGGGCTTCCTGTGGGGCCTGGAGGTGGGAGGAAAGGCGCGCGCCTGTCTCTCGGAGCTGCGGGAGCACTTTCCCGCACGCCGCTGCCTTGGGGAGCGGGCCTCGGGGCCTTCGTCCAGGTGCCCGAGCCAAGAATGAGGTCGTTTTTCCTCTTCATTAAGCGCCTCGGTTACTCCTGCCTCGATAGCCCCGCTGGGCTGACTCTGCCAACCCTTTGCTGACGCCTGGGCTGTCTGAATCTGCCGGCTCAGATGCCCCGCACTCGGCTCTGGGTTCAGAGAACTCCGGGCCGCCCTGTGTTTGTCACTCCTGTTGCTTTAAAATGTGTGTCTGGGTCGCCCTTGCGCTCTTAGTTCTCTGTTTTCACTCCACTTTGCTAGCCTCCGAAGAGCCTCTTTGTAAAAGTCCCTGTGTGCCCTAATAAGAGACTGGTGGTACCCAGACATGGTGCTTTATCCAGGTAAACCTCCTCACACTGGTGTCCTGATGACAGAAGCATCAGGTCACAGGGCTGCCTTCTAATGCGGTTGTGTTGATGACACTTTGTTTCTTCCACAGTTGACAGGCCTGTCAGAGTCTACGCGGATGGAATATTTGACCTCTTCCATTCTGGTCATGCAAGGGCACTGATGCAAGCAAAAACACTGTTTCCCAACAGCTACTTGTTGGTTGGAGGTAAGAATTGCATTTACTCTTTGTCTAGAAAATTCCTTTATAATGTGCCTCCTGAAAAGGATCCCTTTCAGAGTTCCATTATTAAAATCTCACATGGTTATTACTCCCACTTCAACCGATACTGGCTCACTTGTTGGCTGTCTGAAATTTAACGTGACATTTAAAAAGCCATAGGGGAAACCACCTCATGGGGTTAGACACCACCGAGTCCCCGAGAGAGACAGACAAATAATACCAAGTGCAACCACTTCATGTTTCCCATTAATGCCTTTCTTCTTGTGAGCGAGGCATGATCAAATTTCCGTTTCTAAAATTTTCTGGAAGGTTAGGAGAAAAGCAATGTTATTTTGATTTCAAATCCAGAGAGCTGAGGGGCTTAAGGATGATTAAGGGTAAACAAGGTCACTGTCTGTTTGCTTTGTGTGGCCCACAGCACTTCAGATGCTGCTGCGCTAACTGTCCTGGCTGACGATAACCTAGTTAACGGGGCTTATGTACTGTGTGTTAAAGAAATGGAGATTTAGATACCTGCGTAATTTTGGTTCACAGTGAAGGAAATGGCTTACTTCATAAGCCTGTGGAAGAAGGGTGGTTGGATGTGGATGGAAATTTTCCTCCTCCAGAAGGCCTACAACCCATTTCAGTTTGGGTAAAGGGGATAGTGCCTGCCTCGCGACACCTGCATCTCTCCTCTGTAGCTTCTGGAAGCACCATATCCTTTCATGGTGATCAGTTTTTGTGCCATTAGCTGAACTAGGCACTGTCAACCCTGAAACCCCTACTGTGAGGAAAAAGGTGCTGTTAAGAGACCATGTCTCTGTGTTTTTGTTTTTGTTTTTTTTAAGATTTTATTTATTTGACAGAGAGACACAGCGAGAGCGGGAACACAAGCAGGGGGAGTGGGAGAGGGAGAAGCAGGCTTCCCGCGGAGCAGGGAGCCCGATGCGGGGCTCGATCCCAGGACCCTGGGATCATGACCTGAGCCGAAGGCAGACGCTTAACGACTGAGCCACCCAGGCGCCCCCATGTCTCTGTTTTTAAAGTATTTTGTTACCTTCTGCAAGTTTAAGACTATGTTTTGAATATTTGAGAGGCACCTTTCTACAGATTTTACTGAGGATGGTGACCACGTGGTTATTGAATGGAGTTCTTTCCAGAAGGAAGAGATGATAAAAGGCAATAAGTACTGGGCAAGTCACGCAGAGGGCACCCAAGGCAGGCAGAGAACCCATCTGTTGTTCATTTCTGTTTATCTCGAGTGGAAAACCATTTCTGGAAGGAGCACTACCACCTGGAGTGTGGTCCTGAGCTGCTGAGGCCCTGGGGAGACCTCTGCAGTGTTTTGGTGACCCAGGCTGGGAGGTGGTTTGATGTGGGTCACGCTTAGTGGGAACACTAGCCATAGCTGTGGGTGATCACGTTAAGGGTGATACGAGGGGCATGGTATCAGAGCTCGCTTACCGTGAGGGGCATCGCTGTAGCAAACACGTTTGGATAGAACTGTGGACAAGTACAGTCTTCCTTTGAGCTGTGTAGAGTTGCCTTCCTCTAAAATGCAGCATCTATCCCAGCTATTCCAGAAATGCTTTGTGATGAGAAGAAAAACAAAGTTAGTTTCTAGACTCAAATGATTTAAAACAGTGCAGGGTCATTCAGAAATCCTGCGTGTTGTGTCAAAAATCTCCTACGAAGCTGCCCCACACCTTGCAAGATGTTTAGCATCACTGGCACCTTTCCCACTAAATGCCAGCAGCTGCCTCCAATCGTCGTGGCAACTAAAGATGCCCCACCAATTTCCTGAAATGCTTCCTAGGGGATGATGAGGCCCCTGCTGATAACCATTGTCTTAGACTAGGAGTCTTCAAACTTTGTTCCCCACATCCCTAAAAGAATTTTGAAAAACGAAATACCTTTTTGCAGTTTTTTTAAGTTGACATCTAAAATTTTCTAAATTTATTTTTTTTTATTTTTTAAAGATTTTATTTATTTATTTGGGAGAGAGAGAGACAGAGTTTGTGAGAGAGAGCACAAGCGGGGAGGAGAGGGAGAAGCAGGCCCCCCCCGGAGCAGGGAGCCCGATGCGGGGCTTGATCCCAAGACCCTGGGATCGTGACCCGAGCCTAAGGCAGATGCTTAACCGACTGAGCCACCCAGGTGCCCCTTCTATTCTAAGTTTAAATAGTTGGGAAAGACATAATTTCTTTAATATTGTAAGTATTGACATTTTCAAACCTCAACAAATTTTTTTTAAAGATTTTATTTATTTATCTGTCAGAGAGAGAGACAGAGTGAGACAGAGAGAGAGACAGAGAGCGCACAAGCAGGGGGAGTGGGAGAGGGAGAAGCAGACTCACCACTGAGCAAGGAGCCCGATATAGGGCTCGATCCCAGGACCCTGGAACATGACCTGAGCTGAAGGCAGACGCTTAACGAACTGAGCCACCCAGGCGTCCCCTCATTAAACATTTTTTTAGGAAAGTTTTATGTTCACAGCAAAATTGAGCAGAAAATACAGAGAATTCCCATATGCCCAAATATGCATAGCCTCCCTCGTCATCAACATCCCAGACCAGACTGATACATTGGTTACAGTCCAATGTAACCTACACCGACACATCATTATCACCCAGAGTCCACAGCTGATGTTAGACTTTTCTCTTAGTGTGGCACATGCTATGGGTTTTGGCAAATGCATAACGACATGTATCCACTATTGTCATGTTATACAAAATTAGTTTCACTGCCTTAAAAATTCTCTGTGCTCTGCGTATTCATCCATCTCTCCTCCCGGCCCATGGCAACCACTTATCTTCTTACCATCTCTATAGTTTTTTCCCAGAATGTTATATAATTGGAATTTTACAGTAGGTACCTTTTTCAGATTGGCTTTTTTCACTCAGTGATACATATTTAAGGTTCCTCCATGTCTCTTCACGGCTTGCTAGTTCACTTGTTAGTGCTGAATAATAAAATAATACCCCATTGTCTGAATGTACCACAGTTCGTCCATTTACTTCCTGAAGGACACCTGGGTTGCTCCCAGGTTTTGGCAATTATGAGTAAAGCTGCTATAAACATCCGTATGCAAGGTTTTATGTGGACAGACGTTTTCAACTCCTTTGGGTAAATACCAACCAAGGAGCATGATTGCTGGATTGTATGTTAAGTTTTGGGGCTCCTGGGTGGTTCAGTTGGTTGAGCGTCTGACTCTTGGTTTCAGCTCAGGTCATGATCCCAGGGTCGTGGGATGGAGCCCCAAGTTGGGCTCCGTGATCAGTGCAGGGTCTGCTTGAGGCTCTCCCCCTCTCCCTCCCACTTGCACGTGTGCACACTCTCTCTCTTTCTCTAAAATAAACAAACAAAATCTTTAAGAAAAGAGTATGTTAAGCTTTGTACGAAACTGCCAAACTGTTCCAAAGTGGCTGCCCCACCTTGCATTTCCTGCAGCAGTGCGTGAGAGTTACCGTTGCTCCGTACCCTCACCAGCATTCGGTGCTGTCAGCGTTTTGCATTGTGGCCATTGTAATAGGTCTATAGGGGTATTTCATTGTCTTAGTTTTCAATTCCCTGGTGACATAAGATATTGAACATCTTTTCATATGCTTACCTGCCATCTGTATATCTTCTTCGGTGAGGTGTGTGTTAGATCTTTTGTCAATTTTTAAATCTGGTTGTTCATTTTCTTATCGTTGGGTTTTAAGTGTTCCTTGTATAGTTTGGGTAACAGTCCTTTATCTCTTATATCTTTTTCAATTATTTTTTCCCAGTCTGTGGGCATGTCATTCCAGTCTTTCACAGGGCCACAGTTCCTAATTTTAACTAAGTCCAGTTTAGTACTTGTGTCTTCGATGGTCCGTGTCTTTTGTGTTGTATCTAAAAATCACTGCCGTACCCAAGGTCATCTAGGTTTTCTGCCAGGAGTTTTAGACTTCTGTGTTTTACATTTAAATCTGTGATCTCTTTTGAGTTAATTTTTGTGAATAGTATAAGATTTGTGTCTAGAGTATTTTTTTTGCATGTGGATGTCCGGTTTTTTAACATCATTTGTTGAATACACGATTTCTGCTGTATTGTTTTGCCTTTGCTCCTTTGACTATGTTTATGTGGGTCTATTTCTAGGCTCTCTTTTCTGTTCCATTGATCTGTTTGTTCATTCTCTCACCAGTTCTATACCTTCTTGATTACTTTAGCTTTATAGTAAGTACTGAAGTTGGTTAGTGTGAGCCTTCAAATTGTGTTCTACTTCCCCGGTATTGATGTGGCTGTTCTGGGTCTTTTGCCTCTCCATATAAACTTTAGAATTAATTTGTCAAGTTGTCGCCACAAAGTAAGTTGCTGTTATTTTGATTGGGATTGCATTGAATCTGTAGATCCATTGACATCTTGACAATACTGAGTCTTCCTATTCATGAACATAGAATATTTCTCCATTTATTTTGTTCTTTGATATCTTTCATCAGAGTTTTGTAGGTTCTTCATATAGATCTTGCACATATTTTGTTAGATTTATACCTAAGTACTTCATTTTGGGGAGGGGAGGGGCTAATGTAAACAGTAATACATTCTTAATTTCAAAATTCGTTCATTGCTTGTATGTAGGAAGGTAATTGACTTTTATATATCAAACTTGTATCCTGCAACCTTGCTGTAGTTGCTTATTAGTTCTAGGGAATTTTTTTTGTAAATTCTTTCACATTTTCTACATAGGTCGTCATGTCATCTGTGAGCAAAAATGGTTCTATTTCTTCCTTCCCAGTCTGTATCCTTTTTATTTCCTTTTCTTGGCTTACTGTACTAGCTAGGACTTCCAGTACAATGTTGAAAAGCAGTGGTAAGAGGGGATGTCATTGCCTTGTTCCTGATATTAGCGGGAAAACTTAAACTTTCTCTCCATTAAGTGTGATGTCAGCTGTAGATTTTTTGTAGATAGTGTTTATCAAGTTGAGGAAGTTCCTCTCTATTCCGTTTTCTGAGAGTATTTATCATGAAGGAGTATTGGA